TCCTGAAGGTCAGCAGATGCCTCAGTGGAAATTGCATTACAGATTAATTTCTCCCTCTGCCCCGTCCTGCCTTCCTGACATCCCCACAGAGGCATCTCCTGAGAGCACTCCCCAGTGAAGCTGCTGCCCACCACTCAGTCTCAGGCTCTGTTTGTACGAAACCCACTGTAAGGCAGGTAGGGAAGTATACGCCACCCAAAGGTAGCCATGGCAACGATGAAGGAAGAAAGACTTTCAGACAAATAATATAATCTACTACAATGGTTAAAGAATGCATCATGGAGACAGATCTGATTTATTTTGGTTGCAACTGAATGCTGGGCACATGCTCAGTGTGTGTGCACTGATTTTCTCTTTTATACTGGGGTTCCAAGTAAGTTATGTTGTAGCAAATGTTCTGGGGCTTAAAAAGAAGGGCACCCAGTCTGTAGCATTTTTTATTGTAGCCCCAGAAAACTCATACGCCAGGCTAGCAGCTTTCACAATCCTGTTGCACACACGAGGTTGGTGGAAGGGGGAAAGTGTGCCCCCCAACTTCTCAGAGGGAAAACAAAGTTACTTCAGCAACTGGAACTGTCCAAAGTACATCAAATAAGCTATCTAAATTGGGAAATAGGTAGCATGGGGGTTTTGGATCTGCAAGAGTGTAAAAACTGCAACAGATTCAGAGCACCCCACATGAGCTAAGCAGTCCCAGGCTGCTAGGTACGGCTTCTGAGTCAGAGCCTTTAAGAGGCCCTCCGCTTCTGTTTCTGCCCTCTCAGCATGTGAAGAAGCCCAGCCGGATCTACTGGAGGATGATAAGCCACATGGAGCAAACACAAGCCATCCTGTCCATGGACCAACCAGGGTGCTGACAGCCCGTGAGTGAGGTCATCTTAGACCATCCAGCCCCAGCCAAGATGCAACCACATTAGTGATCCCAGGTGAGACCAGCAGAACCACTCAGCTGAGTCCAGCTCAAATTGCTGACCCACAGAATCAAGAGCAAATAAAATGGTTGGTGTTTTAAGCTATTAAGGTGTAAGGTGAGTTGTTACATAGCAGTTGATAAATGACACACCAAGCTAAAATCATATCTGCTCGCAAGGCCATATTTGATGACTGTTTGGGGACTCCCATAGCCACCTGCAAACCCTCCTTGCTGAGCCAGACAAACTTAGAAGATAAAGAGCGGCGTGTGCATTGGGTAATTGTGCATCTGTTTCCCCCAGGGGCTGGATGACCTCAGGGCCAGAACTGGGCCTCCTGCGTCTGTTCATCCTGTGTATTGTGCTGAGCCAAGACCTGACATACAGCAGGTGCTCCATAGACATTTACTCAATTACGGAAATGCTGTGGGACTTGTCTAGCTTAACAACATCTCCTGCTCGGATTTCTGCAGCAGTCTCCAACTGGGAGCACCCAGGCTTGCTCCCTCAAATCCATCTTCCAGCCAAGGAAGAAAACTTTCTAAAATGGAAATCTATCCTGGTTTAACCCCTGGTTAACATCTTTAGTTGGCCCCCAAATGCCCTCACAGTTAAGTCCTATGTCTTAAGGAATGATTTATGGAATCATAAACCTGCAGACCTTGACCTTCTGTCTAATTCCCATCTTGCACCACTTTCTCCTTTGCTCTCTGGACCCACCGCAGGAACTTCTTTCTGTTCCTTTGTACCACACTCTCTGGTGCCTCTGGACCCTTACACATGCCACACTCTCTAGCTGGAATATTCACCACCACCAAGTTCCCAAGCCTGGCTAAATCCTACTCACCCCTCAGTACATTTGGTACTGGATCAACACTGGTTTCTGGGCAGTGGCTGATGGTTTGGCTGCATGGTCAGCAACTTAGCACAGAATCAGAGGACTTGGGATGAGGTATTCAGATGGACTTTCAGAAATGGCCACAGAGTGTTAAAGTATTTCTGTCCCATGTGAAATCTCACCAAAGAGCATCCATGGCAGGGGAGGCTCTTGATAATCAGATGGCTAAGATGGTGCATCCCATAGACACCAGTTGGCCTCTTTCTGCAACTCCTCCAGTGCTGGCCCAACATGCTCTTGCACAGTGTGGTCATGGTGGCTAGAATGGTGACTACTTACAGGTTCAACAAAATGGACTTACCCCACCAAAGCTGCCCTGGTTAATGCCACCGCCATATGTCCAGTCTACCATTGGCAGGGACAAACGTTGAATACCCAATAAATCATCATTCCATAGGGATTCATCTAGCCCCCTGGTGCCATTTGATTCCTTGGGTCCTTCCCATCATAGAGGGCACAGTGATTTATCCTCATTAACACGGCCAAAATATACAGTTCCAGGAATCAATAGTGTCTCTCACTGTTACACCGAATAACCCACAGGATTAGTTTCTTGTAGATGCCATAACAAATTACTATAAACTGGGTGACTTAAAATAACAGAATTTATTGTTTCACAGTTCTGGAGGCCAGAAATTCACCATCAGCTTCACTGGGCCTAAATCAAGGTGTCAGCAGGGCTGTCCTCCCTCCAGAATGCTAGGAGAGAATCATTCCTTGGCTTCTCCAGCTTCTGGTGGCTGTCAGCATACCTTTGCTGTGGCCACGCTCCTCCAGTCTCTGCTTCTGTCTTCATATTGCCTCCTCCTCTTCTCTGTGTGTGAAATTTCCCTCTGCCTCCCTCTCTTAAGAGGACATTTACAGTTGGATTTAGGGCCCACTGGATAATCCAGGATTATCTCCCCATGTCAAGATCATTAACTTAATCACATCTACAAAGACCCTTTTTCCTTATAAGGGAACATTTACAGGTTCCAGAGATTAGGATCTGATATCCTTGGGTGTCGATTATCCAGCCCACTATGCCCACTCACAGAACTTTTGCTTCTTGTCCCCACAGTGTTGGGCTCCACTAGTTTGGAGGTCTTTGTTCTCAAAGGAAGGGAAGAAATAGTTTTCATTGAATTGGAAGTTGAAACTTCTAACTGGCCATTTTGGACTTCTCACACCACTAAACCAGCAAAGAGTTACCGTACCGGCTGTCTGACTGGTCCACTTCACCAAAGAGAAATTGGGATGCTGTGCACAGTAAGGATGGGGAGGACTGTGTCTAGAGCCCAGGGATCCTTCGGGCCCCTCTTAGTACTTCCTAGACAATAGTAAAAGTTAGCAAAAAGCTTTGGCACCCCAAACTGTGCAGGACCACGGAAGATTCAGACCCTCCAGGATTAATTATGGGTCATTCTACCACATAAAGAACCCCAACTAGCTGATGTCCCGGCTAAGGGCAATTATAGATGAAAGAATGACAAATACATACACACACACATTTACCCAATTAGCAAAAGATATATATTTTGTATATATACACTTACTCAACTAATAAGTATCTATCAGTTATGGTACTGGGACCAGTTACCAGAAGGAGGTGTCCTGCACTTATGCATATTTTCTTCCTTGCTTGGTGTGTGTGTGTGTGTGTGTGTGTGTGTGTGTGTGTGTGTGTGTGTGT